GGGGTACGGGGGAGTGGGAAGAATGCTGGTGTGGGGATGGGCAGAAGAGCTCAGCCCGTCCTGCTGTCTCCTCTGGCTTTAGTGAGTTTAGGGTCTTATGGCCTCTCCCTCCTTCTCATGAGGTGCCACCATCAGGCTGCCAGAGTCAGGATGCCCATCCTGTACACAGGCTACTGGAGATTTCATGTCCCTGTAGGAGTTTTCAAAGTTCCCAAAATATGAAAGCCTCTCTTTTTTTAAAAAAAAAAAATTATATATAATATATATATAATAATATATAACTTCATTAGCTGGTCATGGTAGAGCATGCCTGTAGTCCCAACACTTGAGAAGCTGGAGCAGGAGGATTGCCACAAGTTCCAGGCCAGCCTGAGCTACACTGCAAGACCCTGTCTCAAAGAGAAAATTACAGCTAAATGTGGTGTTATAGCCTTGGATCCCAGTTCTTGGGAGCCAGAGGCAGATGAATCTCTGTGAGTTTGAGGCCAGCCTGGTCTACAGAGTGAGTTCGAGTCCAGCCAGAGCTACGTAGTGAGATCCTGTCTCCAAATGGGGGTGGGGCTGGAGACATTTTCAGCAGTTAAGAGCAGGTGTTACTCTTCCAGAGGACCCAAGTGTGATTTCCAGCTCCCATGTCTGGCAGCTTATAGCTGCCTGGAACTTCATCTCCACCTCTGATTCTAACATGCACGCACGCACGCATGTGCGCATACATACACATGATTAAAAATAAAAATCTTTTTAAAAATTGTATAGAGCTGGGATGTACTTCAATTGGTAGAGGATTTGTCTGGCTTGTGCAAGGTTCTGGGTTCGATCCCCACTATAACCTAGGAAATTAAGAAAACGGCTGAACACTGAAAGCCCCCCCCCCTCAGGGGCCGTGGGAGAACAGCCTCACTATTTCTGTAATGCTGTTCCTTGACTCAGTCCCAGGAGAAGCAATGTCCAGTTGACTTCTGACCTCTGCTGCAGAGCAGGGAATCGATCAGCCCCCTGGGGCAGCAACTGTAAAGACCTTTGCAAACAGTGTGACCGAGTTCGAAGCCCGGTGTCCACTGGGGCAGCGGTGCAGACTGTAATGTCAACCTTGATTTCAGAATCAGGGCGTTCCACACCGGGTGGGGCTCCATCTCCCCTGAAACGCTTAAAGCTTTTCCTCCCCAGCCCCCTTTTCCTAAGAAATTCTTACATGACCCCGAGAATATAAAAATCAGACAAGTCAAACGTTTACTGGTAATAAGCAGGGAAATTTACTTTAAAGCAAGTCTTTGGAAGACATACAATTTTAACATTTATTAGAGATGAAAGCTGGGGCCGGTGAGATGGCTCAGTAGGTCAGTAGGTAAAGGAGCTTGCCACCAAGCCTGACAACCTGAGTTCAATCCCCCACGTGATGAAGGGAGAGAACGATCCTCCCAAGTTGTCCTCTGGTCTCTATGTGCACACCATGGCATACGCACACACCTGCTCACATAATTCGTGTTCACAAATACGCACACACCTGCCCACATGAATGCATGTTCACAAAATAAAATGTGATTTTAAAAAAAGATGAAAGCAAATCATTGCACAAATGAGATGGTATTTATTTTTTTAATATTTATTCTCCCTCTCTCCCTCCCTTTCTCTCTGTGTATGTGTGTCTATGCATATATTCTCTCTCTCTCTCTCTCTCTCTCTCTCTCTCTCTCTCTCCCCCCCAGCCCCCTCTCTGTGTGTATGTGTGTCCATGCATATACACCATGCACGTACAGATGTGTTTGGCTGCTGGGAACTGAACTTAGGTCCTCTGCAAAAGCAGTATATGCTCTTAGCTGCTGAGCCATCTCTCCAGCCTATTTAAATCTGTATTGGTCCTTCAGCCTACAGCATGATGATTTCAGTACATTTGTGTACATACACATATTTCATTATCATTCCTCCCCTCCCACATGGCCCAATTATTTATTTATACACAATTATTTATTTTTACACAAATAAGTGAATCTTGATACTACAGGGCAGAGAACATTTCCAGCATTTTCAGGGCTGACTAATATTTTGATTCTATGATCATCACAACCAAGGTCACAGTCTACTTTTCAAGGTCACAGTCTCTAAAAATCCAAATGAAAGTTCAGTCTCCTTAAAGTCTCAACATCAGACTGGAGAGATGGATCAGCGGTTAAGAGCACTGGCTGCTCTTCCAGAAGATCTGAGTTCAATTCCCAGCACCCACATAGCAGCTCACAGCTGTCTGTAACTCCAGTTCCAGAGAATCTGGCACCCTCACAGAGACATATATGCAGACAAAATACCAATGCACATAAAAACAAATCTTTAAAATGATAAAAATAAAATACATGCCTTCTTACTCTAGAGGGAAGGACCAGGGAAGAGCCAGGGCACCGTTGCAGTCAGAGCAAAGCAAAACCAAAATTCAATGGTGCAAAGAATTTGGTGCCTGGTGTCTGGATACCACCAATACCCTCTACTACCTCTAATACCCTCTACTCCCCCCCCCCCCCCCCCCGCCCCCGGGCTCTGAAGACCCTGAAAGGTCACACTTCTCTGGCCCTGCCACCCAAAACACACAGCTTGTACGTACCCTAGGCTCAGGCTGGCTCCCCTCCACAACTGCTGATGTCCTTAGTGTCATCCATGGTACTGACATCTCCAAAATGTTGGGGTCTTATGTAACAGTCACCTCCCAGATTAGAGACTTCCATCCTGCAGGGGAGCTCCCTAAGCAGGGAACAGATAAAATGTAGCTTCAAAAACTACCTGAAACTTGGCCGGCTGTGGTGGTACACACCTTTAACCCCAGTACTCAGGAGGCAGAGATAGGTGGGATCTCTGTGAGTTCGAGGCCAGCCTGGTCTACAGAGTGAGTTCCAGGACAGCCAGGACTGTTGCACAGAGAAACCCTGTCTGGAAAAAAACCAAAAACCAAACCAACCAAACAAACAAAAAACCTCCCTGAAACTCACCAGATTCACTAGTTTCCTCCCTGCCAGGGTAGACAAGAAGAGGGTCAGACCAGCTGAGCTGCCTGGAAGAGCTTTAGACCAACTGAGGCACCTGGAGAGGACACTCTCCCACCTGGGGAGCCGCCTGCAGGCTGTGTGGTGTGCTCCGGGTTCCCAGCTTCGGGAGCTGTCACCCATGCTGGGGCGGGCTTAGGTGATACAGTTGTCTTTGAGGCATTTTTGCTCCTGTGGGTAACCCGTCATCTATATTCCTGTTAGTGACCCCAATAAAACTCATCCATGGTTCACCAAGTTGACTTTGGTGGTATCCTGCTGTGGGATGGTCTGTATGTCAAATCTGTTGCTCTGATTGGTCAATAAATAAAACACTGATTGGCCAGTGGCCAGGCAGGAGGAAGTATAGGCAGGACAAGGAGGAGAAGAATTCTGGGAAGAGGAAGACTGGGTCCGAGACACTGCAGCCACCGCCAGGACAAGCAACATATAAAGACGCCGGTAAGCCACCAGCCATGTGACAAGGTATAGATTTATAGAAATGGGTTAATTTAAAATATAAGAACAGTTAACAAGAAGCCTGCCACGGCCATACAGTTTATAAGTAATATAAATGTCTGAGTGATTATTTTATACGTGGATTGTGGGACTACAGGGCTTGGTGGAACCTGGAGAGAAGCCCTCCAGCAACAGTATCAATACTTTGGCCTATCTTGGGTTCTCTCTATGGGATGAGAAGATGTGTGTGTTGCACCTCCCCAGGAAAAGTTTGGTCACACAACAGGTCTCCAGTGCAACTGGGGTACACCTTCATCAACAGCCTATCCTGAGCTCTCCTCAGGGACTATAACCCTGCCATATGGTGCCCGGCCTCAGCATCTTCCCACAATCCCTTCAGTCATAGGGATTCCACTTTCAGAATCTACCCCTTCACCAGTGGCCTCTCCAAGCCTTTCTTCAGGGACTCCAGGCCTGCCACACGGTGTCCAGCCTCAGCTGCTCTCCATGTCATGACTTTAAAACTAGTGCTACGGGAGAAATTCTTACACCTTACCAAGGGTCGGCATGAGGTACAACCTTCACCCTTCTGAAGCACAGCTTTGAGGAAGCCCTTTCCAGAAGATTTTGCCTTAAAGATGCCGGTCTCTCAAGTGTGGCTAATCTCTCAGCTCCAGCCTGCCAGCGTCATCTGTCCCAGCAAAGCAAAGCTTCCACTTCAGTGGACCTGGTCTCCTGTTCATCACAGCTGATTCTTCAGCCCTAGCTGATGAGAAACAGAGTCACAGTTCAAAATATCACATAAGTGGCCCTGACAGAGGCTTTGCTCCCCTCCGGAATTTCACAAGGAGCCAGGTCTTCCTCCTCTGCCTTTCTCTCAAGGCCCTTCTCCTCCAAGTCCCACAGACAGCCCACTGAGCTCTGAGCACTCACCAGCTTTTCCAGCCCAAAGTTCAGATCCCACCACAATCCTCCCCAGGATACACGGTCAGATCTGTCTTAGTAAAACCCTGCTCCGGTACAATTGTCTTAGTTAGGGTTTCTGTTGCTATGATGCAACATGGTAACCTGTTGAGGAATGTTAGCTGAAGATGTGCTACATTTGTGCTGTGGAACATTTGTTTAATGATGCAAAGATGTGTTGCATTCTTTTATGTTGCATTTGTTTAACTCTTTGAAGCTGTGTTACTGTGCCTGTCTAAAACACCTCATTGGTCTAATAAAGATCTGAACGGCCAATAGCAAGGCAGGAGAGGGATAAGCAGGGCTGGCGGGCAGAGAGAATAAATAGGAGGAAAAATCTAGGCTCAAGAGAAGAGGAGAGGAGTGAGGAGTAAGAAAAGGAGGAGAGGAGGATGCCAGGGGCCAGCCACCCAGCCACCCAGCCACCCACCCAACCAGCCACGGAGTACGAAGGGAAGAGAGACATATAGAATTAAGAAAGGTAAAAAGCCCAGAGGCAAAATGTAGAAGAAGAGAACCGTGTTAATTCAAGTTAGCTGGCTAGAAACAAGCCAGGCCTTAGCTTGTTACTCATAAGTAAGAAGTCGTCTCTGTGTATTTATTTGGGAGCTGAATGGCAGCCCCACAAAGAGTAGGAAAAAAACAAAAGCAAGAAACCAACAATAACCAAAAGCAAGTTGGGGGAGGGAAGGGTTGATTTCCTCTTACAGTGTGTAGTCCCTCACTGAAGAAAGGCAGGCAGGAACCTGGAGGCAATAGCTGCTGCAGAGACCATGGAGGGGTGCTGCTTTTGGCTTGCCTTCATGCTTTGCTCAACCTTCACTTTGTAGACCAGGCTGGCCTCAAACTCACAGAGATCCACCTGCCTCTACCTCTCTAGTGCTGGGACTAAAGGCGTGCGCCGCCGCCGCCGCCGCCGCCGCCGCCGCCGCCGCCGCCGCCACCACCACCACCACCACCACCTGGCTTAGCACACTTCCTTATAGCACCCAGGACCGCCTGCCTAGGGGTGGCACAGTCCGTAGTGAGCTGGGCTCTCCCATGCCAATCACTAATTAGGAAAATGCTCTGCAGGCTTGCGTACAGGCTCATCCTGTGGAAGCATTTTCTCGGTTGAGGTTCCCTGATCCCAGCTGATTCTGGCTTGTGTCAAGTTGACATACAACTGTCCAGCATACTACTTCCCACACATACATGGTACAAATGGCAGAAATCCTTTTAGGACCATTTCAGAAATGATTGGAAATTCTGTCCTAACCTCAAACTAAAACTCATTAACAAGTTTTGTTTATCAAGACAGGGTCTCACTCAGGAGCTCTGCTGGTCTGGAATTTGCTATGTAGATCAGGCTAGCTTCACACTGCTGGGTTTAAAGGATGCACCGCCATGCCTGGCTTTTCAAAGGATTTTTTTATTTATTTTTTAGATGAAAAACCAAGTCAGCAACCCAGACAGTAATTGTACAAATCAACCATTCTAACATGACCCAATCGGAGATACAATGGCTGACCCGTGCTGAGGCCTTCACGCTCTCTAATTAACTTGCTCTTTCTACAGGAGCAGGAAACTAGAGCGGAAAGGCGTCTGTCTGCAACACTCCCGCCTCAGGTCTGCGCTGAGAGCTTTGGGCAGTGTTTGAGGACTGTGTGGCCTGATAGAGGGCAGAGCACAGCCAATGTGCAGGACTGAGGCTGCAGGCAATTCACAAGGTGCTACAGCTCCTGCCACCAGAAACGCTTGGCTCATTAAGTCGCTGATTTTGAATTAAGTTTTGGTCTTCATGTGCTCAGAAACCCCTTACAGTTCCTCAGTCTCGCAGCCCCCACATTATCCCATATATACACCTATTTAAACAGAGGAGGTGGGGGTGGCTAGACCAGCATGCATCTCTTCCAGAGGGTGGGTCCCAATGACCTAATCACCTTCCCCTAGGCCCCACCTCTTAAAGGTCCCACAGCCTCCATCTGGTCAGCATGGGGAGCAGGCTCCTCGCTGTGTTTTCCTGAAGCTCCTCCCTGCTGTCTGTGTGTCTGTCCCTTAACAGGGAGAATTGTGGGTGTCTGCCTTGATTACAGCTGCTCCCAGAGCCTGAAACTCAGTCTAGAGCAAAGACGGGCCTCAGAAAAGCTTTTTGGAAGAGGAGGGGGGTCTCCCCCCAACAGTAAAGCAGCTGCTGTGTAGACCTGAGTTCAATCCCACCCCCCCACCTCTACCCCCCACCCCAACCCCTGCACCTGTGCTTGAAACAAGTGTGTCATCCCAGTGCTGGGGGAGGGGTGGAGGAGGAGCCCTGGGGCTTTCAGGCCAACCAGTCTGCCTAGTAGACAACCCCAGATTCAGTGAGAGGCCTTATCTCAAATAATAATGTGAAGGTCTGGGCATGGCGGCACATCCTTTAATCCCAGGAGGCAGAGGCAGACAGATCTCTGAGGCCAGCCTGGTCTACATAGCAAGTTCCAAGACAGCCACTGTGAGACCCTGTCTAAATCTATTTATTTTTTTGTTTGTTTGGTTTTTGTGTTTTTTTTGTTGTTGTTGTTGTTTTTTTTTTGTTTTTCGAGACAGGGTTTCTCTGTGTAGCTTTGCGCCTTTCCTGGATGCTCTGTAGACCAGGCTGGCCTCGAACTCACAGAGATCCACCTGGCTCTGCCTCCCGAGTGCTGGGATTAAAGGCGTGCGCCACCACCGCCCGGCTGGTTTTTGTGTTTTTGAGACTGTGTAGTCCTGACTGTCCTGGAACTCGCTCTGTAGACCAGGCTGACCTCGAACTCTCAAAGATCCGCCCACCTCTGCCTCCTTCAGATGACACCTGAAGTTAATCTACATCAACAAGAACACACATATAGGCATGTACACATGCCCCCCCCCAAAAAAAATGCAGGAGGGGGCATTCTTAGCCCTCCCAAACACACCAGGAATATCTTGTCCATGTGGCTTGTGTCTAGTGTGTCCCCTCTGTAAACAGTTCTGACTCTGTCACCACCCAGAGTGGTCCCCCAGGTCCGGGCAGTCACAGCAAAGGGCCCTGGGCATTGGACTCAGCCTGCAGCAAATGCTAGGTGTTGCTGCTGTGGCCTGGGGGGAGGATAGAGAGGGAGGAAGGGCATGTTCCCCACAGACCCAAGGAGAAGTATCACACGCTCAATGTCCAGGGGACAAGACGGGCATTGGGGGTCTCCCTGCCATGCAACCTGGGGGCCTCTTGGCTTGAACCTCTGCCCTCTGGGATGCTGTGCCCTCCATCCAGGCTGTCTGTCCTCCCTTCCATCTGTCCCTCACCCTCCCCTGCCCCTTCCCCTGTGACCCCCGCCCTTCCTCGCCACAGCTGTTAAGTGGATTCTGTTGTTTTTGTCTTTACTGTTGTGAAAACCCAGCTTGCCTGAAAGGCACCAGGAAGCCAGGGAAAGTGCCAGAAATGATACCAGCAGCCCTCAGCACCTGCTGGGCCCCAGGCTCTGTTCCCGGTCCTTGTCACCACTGAGGAGGTGGCACCGTGACTCACCCCACTTTGCAGATAGTGATACTGAGACGCAGTGGATGATGCCTCAGACAGGGCTCAGCGCAGGAAGCTGCCCTCCATTTTCATGGCACAGGTGGAAACTGGGACCTCATACTCAAGGCTGTGTTGGGGGCCCCAGCTTATCTTGTCATTTAAAATAGCGTGGTGGCGCACCCCTTTAACCCCAGCACTTGGGAGGCAGAGGCAGATGAATCTCTGAGTTCAAGGTGAGCCTGGTCTACAGAGCAAGTTCCAGGACAGCCAGAGCAACACACAAACCCTGTCTTGAAAACAAATAAACAAACAAAAACCCTAAATAAATAAATAAATAAATATA